TTGTTGTTGTTATGTGCCGTCGAGTCAGACCTGACTAATGGCAACCCTTCCTTGGGTTTCCGAGGCGGTATCACTACAGAAATAGATTGCCCAACCTTCCTTCCGAGGAGTGGCTGGTGGGTATGAACCGCCAGCTTTCTGGTTAGCAGTCAAGTGCCTTAGGCTTTGACCTAAGAGGCGCCAGAGCTCCCTCTATAGAGATACTGCCTCTGAAACCCAATCAACTCAATGGCAGTGAGTTTGGCTTTGAGGGATCAGAGATTTTCAGACATATATTTTCAATTCACATTTTAAAGCACACAATTAACAAATCTGGGATCAGCAGGGTGACTATGCTTAAGATACATACATATCATTCTGTCTTAGCCCCACCAACTCACCTACTGCAATGAATTTGTAATGTGCTTTATAAGGAATAAAGTATACCAGATAAGAAGTGATGGAATAACAGAACTGTAAGGATTAAAGATAATTTTGACTTTTTAAAAAGGGTTCAGTAGATGTCTTACTTGGGAAGATTCTTAGTGAGTATTCAGCATGCATATAATATATATACAAAAACACACACATACATGATGCATACAACTGCTAACCTAAAAGGTTGGCAGTTCAAACCCACTCAATGGTACTACACAAGAAAAAGTCCTAGTAATCGCCTGTTAAGATTACAGACAAGAAAACTCTGGAGCACTTCTACTCTGTAACCCATGCGGTTGCCATGAGTCAGAATGACTTGAGGGCCACTAACAACATGCATAGGAAGCTCTGGTAGCATAGTGCCTAAGGCACTTGACTGCTAACCAGAAGGCTGGCGGTTCAAATCCACCAGCCACTCCTCGGAAGGAAGGTTGGGCAATCTACTTCCACAGTGATACTGCCTCGGCAACCCAAGGAGGGGTCACTATGAGTCGAGTCTGACTCAACGGTACATAACAACAACATGCATAAACACGTATCTAAAATCATTCTCTTTTATTAAGAGAAAAGAATGACAGGTATGCACTGCAGTTGTGAATGGGTAAAACCACTTGAACTAATTTCTCTGGTGAGTCAGGTTCCACTAACCACTGCATTCTTCCATCCAGAAGTCTGTTTTCATCTGGGATAGCCCCTTACAAGGTGCACCTTCCAGGCCACCTTCCTTGGGCCCTATACTATTGACCCTTGATGGAACCAAATGTGAAGGCCACCACAAAACCAAAAAAACCAAACACACTGCCGTGGAGCTGGATCCGACTCATAGGGACCCCTCCTTGGGTGTCTGAGGTGGTATCACTACAGAAGTAGATTGCCCAACCTTCCTTCTGAGGAATGACTGGTGGGTTTGAACTGCCAGCCTTCTGATTAGCAGTCAGATGCCTTAGGCACTACACCACCAGAGCTCCTGAAGCCCACCACAGGTAGGTGTTAAAAGCCATTGGTTATATTTCTCTTTATTTTTCTTTCTGCATTCACCCAAACAGACTGTGTATTACAGTCTTCTTGTTTCTTCCTATCTGCTGATAGCATTAAGAGTGTATATGTTAACGCATTCAAGTCTGCTGCCAGGGCAGGCATTTACTATAACACTCTTCACAGGACACAGAGGCTCAGCTAATCTATTACTTAAATTTTAAAAAAGTCAATGTTAAAAAGGCATTTTTGGAGAATCCTGAAAATTTTTGGAGAATCCATCAATTACTCTGAAATAATTTTTATGTAGTGTATTTTTCATGTTGAGGCTTTTTAAACGGTCAAATTCTCCTCAAGGAGGACACATAATACACAAAAGTTCAACTACATAAGACTATCTCATTTGTATTATTTAAGATTCTTTGGAAGAAAACTAAAGACGCATGGAAACAATTAATCCAAGTGACTAGTGGACCATGCACACCTCAACCTGTATGACCATCAGACGAGAACTAGATGGTGCCCGGCTACCACTGTCAACCCCTTGGAAAGGGATCAGTGGAAGAGATCCAGGATAGAGTGGGAGAAGAATGTGGAACAAAACTCAAAATCATAAGAAGACCAGGCTTATTGGTCTAATAGAGCCTGGTGAAACCCCCAAAACCATGGCCCCTAGTTGGCCTTCAGATCTAGAATTAAACTCACTCCCGTGGTTTCCAGCCAAACTGTAGTACATCAGACAGATACACTCCTTAGAACAATCAATCATGGGAGAACAGCACTATTTGCACAGGGAGATAGCTCAAGGGGCAGGAATGTATAGGAAAGGACACTGTGAAGAGGTAACTACAGGAAGCGGGAGGAGAGCTGTTCCATTGTGGGGTCTGCAGTAAATGTCAGGAAACAAAATGTGAATGAACTGCCACATGGAAAATAAATTTCCTCTGTAAACACAAACAACAATATAACACACTGCAGTTGAGTTGGGTCTGACTCATAGTGACCCCTCCTTAGGTTTCTGCGGCGGTATCACTACAGAAGTAGATTGCCCAACCTTCCTTCCAAGGAGTGTAAACTTTCAGCCAAATCACAAAAAATTTAAAACTAAAAACACCCCAAAACTCTTCAGGTTAAAGTAGCTCTGGTGGAACAGTAGCATTTGACTGCTAACCATGTTGGTGGTTCAAACCCACCAGCTACTCTGCAGAAGATGGAGCAATCTACTTCTATAAAGATTTACCACCTCGGAAACCCAATGAGGGTCACTGTGAATTGGAATTGACTTGATGTCACAGTGTTTGATTTGTGTGTGTGTGTGTGTGTGTGTGTGTTAAAGTTACAGAAACCAACTCTAGCTAGCTCAAGAGGCCTATAAGGCAGGGGCACAGGGATATTCTTCACCCAGGGTAGCTAGGGTTTAGGAAGGACAAAATGAAGGGCCAGAACACTTGTGCTCTCTCCAGGTCTTGCTTCTGCATCTTTCTGCAGATTAGCATTCTTATTTCTCAGATCTATATGGTAGAATAAAGGAGTCCTGGTGGTGCAGTGGTTGAGTGCTCAACTGCCAACAGAAAGCTTGAAGGTCCAAACCCACTAGCCACTCCACAGAACGATGTGGCAATCTGCTTCCGCAGATTACAGCCTTAGAAACCCTATAGGGCAGTTCTACTCTATCCTATGGAGTTGCCGCGTCAGGATCAGCCAAATAGCAATGGGTTATATGGTAGAATGTGGCCAAAGTTCTTTGGTTTACATGTTACTTTCATCCATCCTAAATGGCCAGCTTCCTTTTCTAACCCCAATCTCACTAATCTCTAAAGAGTCAGTTGTCCCTCCTTGATCTACTCAACTGGCTAGAGAGGTAGATTCACGATTCTGGGAGCCCAGACTGTGGAGTGGGAGCCGGTCTCAGAGAAGCAAGAAACACTGTGAGCTGGGGACACATTTCAAAGTACAGGTGGTTCCTGACTTTAAAAAAAAAAAAAAAAAAAGTATTTGAGTTAGCATGAACTGCACTTATAACCATCTGGCTTTTATTTTACTTTTTGATGCACCTTATCATCAGTAATATGTACTACATACATGTTGCAGTATGTAATTTGCTGATACTATCATCCTCAGAAATTCACTTGCAGATGTTCAAGGCTATGATTTACTGTTCAAAACACTGCTCTATAGCAGGCAATAATGAAAAAAATTCAACTTATGTCAGAACCAACTTATGATGGAGTTGTCAGAATGAAACCCATAGTAACATGGGGACTCCTTGTAATAGCCTTACAAGTATACTAAAATAAGATCAATGCAAGAAACCTTTTAGGAATAGAGAAATCAACAACTCTGCGCCCTAAGGAAGTTTATGTAATTTTGCATGTAAGATATATTTATGGGGGAGTGTCTGTAGCTTTTATCCATATTAAAGGGGTACATATCTTCCCCACTAACTTAATCCAGTACACATACACACACAACTAAATAACTTTTTATAAAACATACTATGCTATTAATATGAGCCAAACAATCCCAACTTTCTAGGAACTATGATTATTGTTGTTAGGTGCTGTTGAGTTGGCCCCAACTCATTGTAACCCTATGTGTAACAGAACAAAACACTGCCCAGTCCTCCACCATCCTCACAATCCTTGCCATGCTGGAACCCATCATTGTGGCCATTGTGTCAATCCATCTCATTGAAGGTCTTCCCCTTCTTCGCCGATGCTCCACTCTACCAAGTATGATATCCTTCTCCAGGGATTGGTCTCTTCTGACAACATGACCAAAGTGGGGGAGATGAAGTGTGGCTATTCTTACTTCCGACGAGCATTTTGGCTGCACTTCTTCCAGGACAGATTTGTTTGTTCTTCCGGCAATCCATGGTATTTTCAGCATTCTTCACCAACAGCACAATTCAAACGCATCAATTCTCCTCCAGTCTTCCTTATGATTAGGTTTATTAAATATGTGATTGTTAATGAAAAACTTCAAAGCTTTGAATCGAAACTTTCATATTGAGTAACCATGAATCCAGCCCTATGTACTATACTTCCAAAGCACAGTACAAAGAAATAAAAAACTGACAACTCAGAAAAAAAAACCTTTATTATTAGTCGGGAAAAATACCTTGCTCCATATAGGATGGTTCATTTAATTAAAAATTTCTGTGTCTTGATTCTGTTACATATAAAATTATTATATAAGGAGACAAAGTGAAAAGGAACGTTAGGATTTGAGTATGTGTCTTTATAGACAGTAGAAGATAGTATTTTATATAATTTCAAATTTCATAAAGAATGTTAAGTTTGCAATGCCAATTATATTTATTTTATTTCAGTGCATTGTATTTCTTCTAAATTTCTAAATATTTTTAAATTATACAAGTAATACATTTCTTAGAATCTCAAAGTACAGATATACTTACTAATTTTTTTAAATATAGTTAGCTTCCACTCTCTCAAAAGGTAGCACTTTAATATTTTAGTATGTGGTTTTTTCTAAAAAGTTGTATTTTAAAAAATCATGAATTATATTTTCATGACAGCATAATTTTCAATTGCTCAAAAACTCAAAACATCAAAAACATGTTGATGTTACTTGATTTTATGTCTTATTTACTTTTCAGTAAGTAGATACAACTTTTCAAAAATGTAGTCAATTCCCCAACTTTTATGTCGTTCTTCAAAAGCATCAACATTCTCAAGACAAAGCATATTACACACTGTACCTGAAACAAAAAGGGCAACACATTAAAATGCTATGAAGAATGAAATCAATGCTTTTTCTAAAAATATACCAAATGACCTTTTTTTTTTTTTTAATGTGGTTTGGGTGAATTAGTTTTCCATTCAACAATACATGTTTTGTTTCATACCATTAGTTGCAATCCCCTCATGTTACAGCACCCTTCCCACTTCCTCCCTGGGTTCTCCATTTCCATTTGCCCTTCTTTCCTGCCTCTGAGCTTTGTTTTTGGGCAAATGCTGACCTTTTGGTCTCAGATGGTTGATTGTTCTGAGAAGTATGTTCTTCACCAATGTTACTGTTCATTTTATAGGCCTGTCTGTTGTTTGACTGCAAGGTGATCCCGGGGGTGGGTTCAGTTCCAGGTTTGAAGGTGTCTAAGGGCCATAATTTTCAGACATTCCACTAGTCTCTATCAGACCAGTAAGTCTAGTTTTTCTTTTTATGATTTGGAATATTGCTCTACATTTTTCTGTACTTCAAATGCTTTTAGAAATAGTTTACTAAAAGTTTTTCTTTTCTTTTTAATGAAAATGGAGAAATGTTAGGGACAAATTTTCTGAATTCTGATTGTTACTCTGACTTATTGTAACTCCCATGAGCAAAAATAAATAGGCCATCTCTCCAAAAAGTTTAAATGTCTTCAACATAAAGCATATAGCTAAAAAAGTATATTACTTAGTCCCCTTTCTAGGATAAATCAGCCTTTAATTAAATGGTCTAACTTTTAAATTGTATGTACTTCTAGGAAATTAGTAGCTAACAGTTCAAAATAATTGTAGACTTTATTTAAAAAGAGTTATAGTCTAAGTCCACAACTTACCAAACAACCTTGTAATTTCAGCATCAGGAATATAAAATGGTGGACCTACGTAAAAGAGAAATTTGGTGAAGAATAATTTCTATAGAATCTTCTAAAGAAGAAATTCTCAGGACCCACATCTCAGCTTATTCCCAAGAACATAGGTGTATTTATTCTATGTTGTTATTGTGTGCCATCCAGTCAATTCCAGCTTACATTAACCCTATAGGACAGAGGACTGCCCTGTAGAGTTTCCTGGATTGTAATCTTTACAGAAGCGGATTGACATATTTTTCTTCTTCAGAATGATTGGTGGCTTTGAACTGCTGACTTCTGGCTTAGCAGCAGAACACTTAACCACTGCACCACCAGGGCTCCCTACTTAATCCATAAACAACTTAATTATACAAATAGATGAGGATGTGACCCCCATCTCCTTATTAGCGTCCTTCTACTCCTCTTTCCTCTTAGCTCATCTCATACCAAAGAAGTACTGGCTTACTGCAGGGATAGCAATGCAGCATGGCCATCCATAGTTTAAGAGGAGATGGTAGGGGCAGCCATGGGTCCTGGGAAGACTGGAAACAGATGGGTAAAAAAACCAAACCAAGCCAAACTAAAAAACAACTAGTTGGCATCAAATCAACTCTGACCATAGTGATGCCTTGTGTGACAGAGTTTTCAATCACTGATATTTTGGAAACAGAGTGCCAAGCTTTTCTTCTGAGGCACCATTGGGTGGGTTCAGTCTGCCAATTTTTCCATTAGTCTAGTGCTTAACCATTTGAGTCACCCATTTGGTACATTAGCAAATTCCTTTGGGATTCCCTTTCTCCTCTGGGGTACTGATTTTTCAAGTTTCCAGATCCTGTGTCTTTCCAGAGCAGTACTAGCGTCTCCATCCCCAGACAGAACCTGCCGTGCTTTTTTCCCACAAGCCCCTAGGCCTCCTGTTCACCAGCGGAATTTAAATTAGATCAGCAGAGCTAACTTCTGCCTCCATTAATTTCTATTTCCATCTGCTTGTCTCAGAGTTAATTACAGACACTAGATCACATTTAAAAATAGTTTTGAAGTATGATTTATTCAAACAGAAAAAAATACTAACATGTAAATATTTATAAAACAAAGCACTTAAAAAAAAAAAAAAAGCTCGATTAAAAACTGATAGGGGGATTTTTACAAATAAGAGTTCTATTCACTGTCTTCATCTCCTCCTGAAAATAAAAGCCCATGATCAGCCACACCAAAATGAGTCCAGATTAAAACATCGCCTTTACAAATTCAAAGCAAAGATAGTAATAAACAAAGGGAAAGGATAACTGATAATCTTGGAAATTAAAAAAAAAAAAAAAAAAGTAATTGTTTAGAGATTTCTTTTTTTTTTAATTTTATTTTATTTAGATTTGGGTGAAGATTTACAGAGCAAATTCACTCTCGATACAGCAGTTCACATATACTTTGTCTCATGTCATTGACCACAGTTTACCACAATGCAACAGCTCCCCTCCAATTTCCTCCCCAAGGTACCA